CGGTCCGTCTTGGGTCATATGGGGGCCATTTTGAGTGCATCTCGGGCCGTCCTGGAGACATCTTGCGGCCATCTTGGGTTCTCTTGGGGCCATCTTAGACGTCCTGGAGGCAGCTTGGAGGCCATCTTCAAACATCTTGGCTTTTTTGGAGCGGGAAGACCGGTAACCTGGGAAGTTCACGGGTCCTTCTGGGTCGCTTTGGAGGCCATCTTGGGGCCGCCTGGAGCGGGAAGACCGATGACTTGGGAAGTTGATTGGTCTTTTTGGGTGGCCAGCGGAATTGGCAGAAGGCCCACTGGGACCTTCGAGAAAGGACAACAAATCATTGACTCACCCAGGGCAAATCAATGCTTTTCGCCTCCTGGAAGTCCTCTTGGAACCCTCTTTTTGGGCGTCTTGGAGGCCATATTGGGCAATTTGTTGGCCCATCTTGGTCCATCTTTAGTGCATCTCGGGCCGTCTTGGAGAAACCCAGGTTTCATACAGAGCTTTTTTAAAGATCATGGAGACGATTTTTTAGTTTTTCCTGTCCTTGCGCGTCGTTCCGCGTCCTTCCGGGTTGGGCCGAAGGCTTCTTAGAAACTGTGGAAAGGATCAACAACTACCTAGCGTCTGCCGCACCGTGCACCCTTGTGGCAATCCGCAGGGGGTGGCGGATCGAAGACGCCTACAGCGAATCACCGCCGCCCCCTGCCTTTCTGGGAAGCGCCTATGTGGCCGAACGTTGTGGCCAGGGGCCTGCCAAGCTATCGGACCATGTGTTCCCCGAATCGGTTTGGAAAGGGTTCGTGGAACACGGTGGGGGATAATGAACATGAAGAGGAAGAGGAAGAGGCCTCTTGGGCCGTCTTGAGATGTCAGAATGGCGAGAAGAAGCAAATGACAACATCCTTCAAACACTCGGGGGACATGAATGATTTTGGTTTCTTCGGGCCCTCCTGGAGAACCTCTTGGAGGCCTCTTGGGCCGTCTTGGAGGCCTCTTGGGGGCCTCTTGGGCCGTCTTGGGCAATATTGACGCCATGTTAAGCCGTCTTGGAGGCATCTTGGGCCGTCTTGGAGGCATCTTGGGGGCGAAGCTATCGGACCATGTGTTCCCCGAGTCGGTTTGGAAAGCCTTCGGGGAGCACGTGGGGGAGGAAGAGGAATAGGAGGAGAAGGAGGAAAAAGGAGAAGGGGGAGGATGCTTCTAGTTGGAGAACCAGCTGTTGGGCTAGTTGGGAGAGTTGGGCTAGAGAGAGTGAGAGAGTTGGGAGAGTTGGGAGAGTTGGGAATCACGTGGGGGAGAAGGGAGAGTTGGGCTACAGCTTGGCCAAGCTGTCGGACCATGAGTTCCCCGAGTCGGTTTGGAAAGCTTTCGGGGAACATGTGGGGGAGAATGAATCTGAAGATGAAGAGGAAGAGGAAGAGTAGGAGGATGAGGCAGGCTCCTTGGGGGTTTCTTGGGACACCCTTGGGACCTGCTGTGAGCTTCTTGGGGGCCTCCTTTGGCCTGCTGGAGGCCTTTGGAGGCTTGGGGGCTTTTCGGGGGGCTCTTAGTGCATGCCCAGAGCTGTCGTGCCATGTTATACGCTGGCACGCGCGCTTTTATGGTTACACATCTCAAACATTTGTCGCGCGGAAAACCCTTCCATAATTGGCGCCGACGTCGTCGCTGGCATCTTCGCCGTCGTGGTGCCGCTTATTTCGTCGCTATGGCGAGTTATGCGTCGCCCAACGCCTATGCGGACATACGTTGGGGCAAAGTGCAACCGCGGTATTCGCGCGCGTTTTCCCCGAGCTGCCGGGGAAACATTTCGGGGAACACTTTGGGGCGCATGAATTGGGGGGTGGAAAAAGAAAGAGAATGAGATGGGGAACGCGGAGGAAGAAGTGGCTTATTGGAACGTCTTGGCCTTCATGGAGGCAGCTCGGCCGTCTTGAAGTCCACATTTGACAGTCTTGGGGCCGTCTTGGGGCCCTCCTGAGGGCCATATTTGGCAATGCGCGGGCCGTCTTGGGGCAGTTGTGGCACCATCTTTGGCGATCTTAGCCGTATTGGAAGCCATCTTGTTTCATATATCTCCAATATCTCGTTTGTGTCAGGATGTCCCAGGCGAAACGCTCGTGATAAACGTTGGGTCGGATCTTGGCCAAGTTGTTGGACCATGTATTCCACCAGCCGTTGTGGAAACCCTTCGGGGTACACTTTGGGGAGGATCAGGCACAATGGGAAGAGGGGAGAAAAATGAGAGTGAGGGAGAGGAGGAGGAGGAGTAGGAGGAGGAGGAGGAGGAGGCGGAGGAGGAGGAGGCGGAGGAGGAGGAGGAGGAGGAGGAGGAGGATGAGGAGGAGGAAGACATAAGAGGCCTCTCGAGAAGCTCTGGAGCACTCGGGGCCTCCTGGGTGCTTTTTGGGTGCCTCTTGGAGGTCTTTTGGAGACCTCCTTGGGCCTCTTGGGGGCGGCCGTTGTGCAATTTTCCTTCGTCTTGGGCGCTCCTGACTCGTCTGACGCCGTCGGAAGCCGTCTTGGGGGCCTCCCTAGGCCGACGTGGGCCCTTCTTAGCGCGCTTCAGGGCCGTCTTGGAGGCCATCTTGGGCGCCTTGGAGGTCTCCTGGGCCGTCGTGGGGCCCTCCTTGGGCCGTATTGGGGACCTCTTGGGCCGTCAGGGAACCATCTTGGAGGCCTCTTGGACGCTCTTGGGGACATCTTTGGAGCCTCTTGGGCTATCCTGGGCCGTCGGAAAGCCGACAATGAGCAAACGCCAGAATCCCTCAAACACCCATCGAAAGTCAACGATTTTTACATATTCAGGCCTTCCTGGAGGTCCCTCTTGGAGGTCTCTTCGGCTGTCTTGGGGGCGTCTTGGGCTTGGGCCATCTTCTCCGTCTTGGGCGAACTTGGAGGCCATTTTGGGTCATCTGGACCGTCTTGGAGGCGGCGTTGTGCAGATTTCCGGTCGTCTTGGACCCGAAGGCGGGGCGCGCCGAAGCCCCAGGGGGAGTTCTTCTGGAAAAAAAGCCAAAACCAACAGCCGAAAGGGTTCAGCACGCCGGGCACCCCTGTGGCACGCCAACAGGGGGCGGCGGATCGAAGACGCCTACGGCGAATCACCGCCGCCCCCTGCCTTTTCGGAAGCGCCTATGTGGCCGAACGTTGTGGCCAGAGGCCTGCCAAGCTATCGGACCATGTGTTCCCCGAATCGGTTTGGAAAGGGTTCGTGGAACACGGTGGGGGATAATGAACATGAAGAGGAAGAGGAAGAGGCCTCTTGGGCCGTCTTGAGCCGTCATATGGCGAGAAGAAGCAAATGACAACATCCTTCAAACACTTGGGGGACATGAATGATTTTAGTTTCTTCGGGCCCTCCTGGAGAACCTCTTGGAGGCCTCTTGGGCCGTCTTGGAGGCCTCTTGGGGGCCTCTTGGGCCGACTTGGGCAATACTGACGCCATGTTAGGCCGTCTTGGAGGCATCTTGGGCCGTCTTGAAGGCATCTTGGGGGGCGAAGCTATCGGACCATGTGTTCCCCGAGTCGGTTTGGAAAGCTTTCGGGGAGCACGTGGGGGAGGAAGAGGAAGAGGAGGAGAACGATCAAAAAGGATAAGGGGGAGGATGCTTCTTCGGAGCCTCTTGAGGCACTCTTGGGGTCGTTTGGGCCATCTTGGGACCGTCTTGGAGGCCATATTGGTGCTATATTGGGCTCTCTTCGAGCCTCTTGAGGGCCTCTTGGGGCCTTTTTGGGACTTCTCGGGCACCTCTTTGGCCGTCTTGGGGCGTTCCTGGCCAGTCTGACGCCGTCGGGAGCCGCCTTGGGGGACTCTCTGAACCAGCTTGGGGCCCTCTTGGGGCGCTTCGGGGCCGTCTTGGAGGCCATCTTGGGCGTCTTGGAGGCCTCTTGACCCGTCTTGGGGCCCTCTTGGGGCCGTCTTGGGGGCCTCTTGGGCTGTCATGGGGCCTTTTTGGAGGCCTCGTGGGCGATCTTGGGGCGATCTTGGGGGCCTCTTGGGCCGTCTTCAGCCGTCGGAATGCCGAGAAGAAACAAATGCCAACATCCTTCAAAAACCTCTTGGCCTTTCGGTCTCCTGGCCTCTTCAGGCCCTCCTCGGGCCCTCCTGGAGGACCTCTTGGAGGCCTCTTGGGTCGTCTTGAGCCGTCTTGGAGGCTTGTTGGGCGAAACTTGGAGGTATCTTGGACTCTCTTGGGCCGTCTTGGAGGCCGTCTTGGACCATCTTGGGCGCACTTGGAGGCCATCTTGGACCATCTTGGAGGCCATCTTAGGCCAACGCGGCCATCTTGGAGGCCATCTTGAGCGAAACATTGGGGAATTGAGATCCTGGGCAATCTTTCCGGGTGGCTGCTGTCTTGGATGCCTCTTGGGCCCCTCTTGGGCCCCACTTGGGGGCTCTTGGGCCGTTTGGGGGGATCTTGGGCGCCTCTTGGGCCGTCTTGCTTGGCCGTCTTGAAGATCGAAAAGGGGGTACTGTTGAAGCCATAAGAGGTTACAGGTTTCTCAGATTCTGGCTTCTTGGGCCGCCCTCCAAGGCCTCCGAGACAGCCCAGGAGGCGCCCGAGAGCGCTCCAGGACGGTCCTCGGGGCCATCTCGGTCCATGCTGGACACTCATGTGCCGAGCAACGCGCGTTTGGCTTCTTGGAAAGTCACGCGGAGAACCCCCAGCAGTGCCCTGGAGCGCCCAGGAGCGCCCAGGATTCCGGACCCTTTTTTGGAGCGCTGCATTGCTGCATGAAGAGAATTCAAAGGGACCTGAGGACATTCTGTTTCGTGCCTCAGGGCACGGTGGCGGATCAGCCCCTTCATTCCAATCTCGGGTCCTCCCAGTACTTGCTCCGACGGCTACGGATCAGCGTACGAGTGGTTGAGCAGTGACGGAACGCCTTGCTCTTCGTATCTGAGTTGGAACGGTCAATCATTGTGCACTTCGTCTGGAGGCTATGGCTCCGGGTGGCAGTCGGCGTGGGGCACGTTTCAAAATTGGGCGGTTAATGGGGTTGACGCTTCGATGGCATGTTGCGCCTGTGGCGGAGGCGTCACAGCTCCCAGTACGTGCGCCGAGGGGTACGGAAACACGCCGTACACGTGGGCGAGCAGTGACGGGACAGCTTGCTCTTGGTATCAGCAAAACGCAGCGTGCACTTCGTCCGGAGGCTACGGATCCGGCTGGAACCACGCGGCGTGGGGCACGTTTCAGACTTGGGCGGTCAATGGGGTCGACGCTTCGATGGCATGCTGCGCTTGCGGCGGGGGCATAGCGACGACCTACACGCACACCGACTGCTCATACTCCTCGTACGCGTGCAATTGGGATTCCACATATCCCCAAGGATACCTAGGATGCCCAGGTACCAGTCCTTGGAGCGACCGTTGCCATCAGAGCACCCTTGCGGCCGCCCAGGAAATCTGCGCCGCGAACGAGAACTGCGTGGGCATCACGCAGGACAGCGCTGGGTACGAGCCCAGGTCGGGCCCTTCCGTGCAGTACCACGTCGCGGCGCGTCAGATGTGGACCAAGATTGTCGGCACGCCCTCCCCGACGCCGAACCCGACGCCCTACCCGACGCCCTACCCGACACCCTATCCGACACCATACCCGACACCCTCCCCGACGAACATGCCGGCGCCCAGCAGCATGGATTGCACAATCAGAGTCGATGATTACGTTCGGACGGTATATTACAACAATGTCGACATCACACATACCGTTGTAGGTGACATGAACTTGTGGAACGCAGCAAAGATATTCTCGGTCAGCCTTGTAGCTGGAGCAACTCTCGCAGTCTACGGGGAGGATCAAAACAGTAATTTTGCCTATGGAGGTGGTTTCTGGGCTGATTGTGGCGCCGCGATACCTGCCTATACCTTATCAAGCAATTGGGAGTCCTACTGCACAACGAGTGCGCCAGATTCTGAACACCAACGGGGCAGCGGTAGTGGATGGTCAGCTCCATTCTTTAACTCTGGGAGGCATTGGTCACCTGGGACGCTTGGTGATGCGGGCAAGCAGCACTGCGTTTTCCGTGCAGTGCCGCAGGTGCCCGTGTGGCAGGCAGACAATGCGTATTACACAGCCAACGGCCCAAAGGTAACAAGGACGAATGTGAATTCATGGTTTTGGAGGACCATCGCGTTTGGGCCATGGATATTGTCAGGCAGTTACACGGCAGAGTTTGAATATGCCGCCTCCTCCAGCGGTTGTGGACAAGCACCCGGCTGCAGCGTAGCATTCGGTGTCATTTTCCAAGGCTACGATCTGGGGCAGGGAGGGTGCGGTCACAGCAGCGTTAACGGCTACAATTGCCAATCTGGACAAGGTCTCGAACTTCTAGGCAACAAGTGGGGTCAAGGTATTTGGCAGGGTTGTTCGAACGATGGCATTCAAGTTGGTGATGTGATCCGTGTCCACATCGACATGCCTCTTGCAACAATGACCGTTGCTGTCAACGGCGTAAGCTGCCCGCCGTTCCAGTCACTTCCAAGTCAAGTTCGACTTGCGGTATCTACGGAGAGGGATGGTGACATCGTCGATGTTTTGCTGGCCAGGTCGACTTCGGAAACTGTCCCGACGCCTAGCCCGACTCCCAGCCCGACGCCTCTCCCAACACCCTACCCGACGCCTTTGCCGACGCCCCACCCGACGACGCCCTACCCAACACCCTACCCGACGCCCCACCCAACACCCTACCCGACGCCTTACCCGACACCCTACCCGACGCCCTACCCGACGCCCTACCCAACGCCTTACCCGACACCCTACCCGACGCCGTTCCCGACCACGGACAGCCCAACGGCCAGCCCCACGGCCAGCCCCACTGCCAGCCCGACTGGCCAGCCCCACGGCCAGCCCCACGGCCAGCCCCACGGCCAGCCCCACGGCCAGCCCCACGGCCAGCCCCACGGCCAGCCCCACGGCCAGCCCCACGGCCAGCCCCACGGCCAGCCCCACGGCCAGCCCCACGGCCAGCCCCACTGCCAGCCCGACTGCCAGCCCCACGGCCAGCCCGACGCCCAGCCCCACGGCCAGCCCCACGCCCAGCCCCACGGCCAGCCCGACTGCCAGCCCGACACCAAGTCCAACGCCCAGCCCGACTGCCAGCCCCACGCCCAGCCCCACGCCCAGCCCCACGCCCAGCCCGACTGCCAGCCCGACGCCAAGTCCAACGCCCAGCCCGACTGCCAGCCCCACGCCTAGTCCCACGGCCAGCCCTGACGACGGGGGCGGGGGTATAGTTATTATTTAGTCGCTTCGCTCATTCCGCCGGCTCGTCTTGCATCACTGGTGCTATATGTTTGTGTGTTCATGGCCAGCGACAAGGAGGGGAGGACGAGGAGGAAGAGGTGGGATGCCAATCCAAGTGCGCTCGCGTCATGTCTGACGTCCTACCCCTCCCTCCCATCCCGTACTATGGCGTAGATCTCATCTCTATTCGCACAGTCGGATGTCGTAGCAGGGCATAGCATTACATGGCATATCATGGTGTTGAAGATCAACGCGTAGCCTGACATAGCAGGGCGTGGCGACGCCCCAAAGTGGGGGGGCTTCTGCGGGCCAACAAATCAAGGAATCGACACCGAATGTGGAATCACTTCCGATGGTTTTTTCGGGGACATTTTCAAGATTTTGGGGCATATTCGGAAGGACCGAAATCCATGCCGTTGCATGTCGTTGGAAATAATGGCGCCAGCGCTGCAGCGGGAGCACGATTCCGAACGAGCGGCAGCCTGGAAATGAGGCCAGCGCTGCTGGCAGCGGGAGCTCGATTCGGAACGGGCGGTAGCCCGAAAATGAGGCCCGCGCTTCAGCGAGAGCAGCATTTCGAACATTATCTTGGCGAAGGACCCAACCATATGCTGGTGTGAGTACCGCAGGTCACCTGGGACGAAGAAAGGGGAGCTCCTTACGGGGCCTTCGGTGCAGCTCCCTGTGGGGCCACGAACCGTGTGAGGGGTGTGCCAAAATGGGTGGCGGTTCCCGCATGCGGCCTGTGCCACTGAGGCCTTCGGTGGAGCTCCTTGCGAGGCCACGAACCGTGTGAGGGGTGTGCCAAAATGGGTGGCGGTTCGCGCATGTGCCACTGGGGCCTTCGGTGGAGCTCCTTGTGGGGCCACAAACCGTATGATGGGTGTGCCAAAATGTGTGGCGGTCCCCACATGCAACCTGTGCCACTGGGGCCTTCGGTGGAGCTCCCTGTAGGGCCACGAACCGTGTGAGGGGTGTGCCAAAATAGGTGGCGGTCCCCACATGCGGCCTGTGCCACTGGGGCCTTCGGTGGAGCTCCCTGTGGGGCCGCAAACCGTGTGAGGGGTGTGCCAAAATGGGTGGCGGTCCCCGCATGCGGCCTGTGCCACTGGGGCCTTCGGTGGAGCTCCTTGTGGGGCCGCGAACTGTGCGAGGGGTGTGCCAAAATGGGTGGCGGTCCCCCCATGCGGCCTGTGCCACTGGGGCCTTCGGTGGAGCTCCTTGTGGGGCCACGAGCCGTGTGAGGGGTGTGCCAAAATGGGTGGCGGTCCCGCATGCGGCCTATGCCACTGGGGCCTTCGGTGGAGCTCCCTGTGGGGACACGAACCGTGTGAGGGGTGTGCCAAAATGGGTGGCGGTCCGGCGGTCCCCGCATGCGGCCTGCCACTGGGGCCTTCGGTGGAGCTCCCTGTGGGGCCACGAGCCGTGTGAGGGGGTGTACCAAAATGAGTGTCGGTCCCCGCATGCGGCCTGTGCCATTGGAGGCTTCGGGGGAGCTCCCAGTGGGGCCACGGACCGTGTGAGTGGTGTGCCAAAATGGGCGGCTGCCCCCGCATGCAGCCTGTGCCACTGGGGCCTTCGGTGGAGCCCCCTGCGAGGCCACGAACCGTGTGAGGGGTGTGCTAAAATTGGCGGCAGTCCCCGCATGCGGTCTGTGCCATTAGGGCCTTCGGTGGAGCTCCTTGTGGGGCCACGAACCGTGTGAGCGGTGTGCCAAAATGGATGCCGTCCCCGCATGCGGCTGTGCCAAAACAACTCAGGTTTCTCCCGACACCATTCCTGGCACATCACCAGTACCTCGCGGAAGAGGAGGAGGGGAAAGGGGAGGAAGAGTGAGTAGGAGGTGACGCGGGGCGCTGTCTCTTCAAAACGAGGAACAACACCACATAATGATTGAGATACAAACCAAAGGGAAAACCCAACTCCTGGGAATCCTGTGTGTAAAAGACCAATACGCGGATAGGGGCCGAACATTGCCCGGACGTCACCAGGGGAGAGAGGAGAGTAGTATTCATATCGTGTAATTGTGGATGAGGAGGTTTCCGGAGGGCTTTTTGTGTCAATTTGAGGCGAAACTGGTCATGGACAAGGCGCCTCTTTGAGAGTCGCTTGGGGTCTTCTGGAACGCTTCTCGGGGGCCTCTTAGCGGTATTTCTGGGACCACCTGGGGAGTCACGGGGGCCTCTCGGGGGCCTCTTGGGGCCTCCAGCGGACCCCTCTGCGCCTAGAGCTCGAAATGTCAGTTCGCGTCCCCCGTCTGGGCCCGCTCTGGGAGCCGTGTTGGGAGCCTCTTCGGCCATCTTGGCAGACTCCGGGGCTGTGTCGGGGCCCTCTGGGGCTGTTTTGGGTGCTCTTGGAGGCTTCTTGGGCCGTGCTGGGGCGATCCTGGAAGCCTCTGGGGCTGTCTTTGAGCGCCGGTAAGCCGAAAAGGCGAGAAGTTATAGGAAAATGCAACATTTCTGCCTCTGTGGGCCCTCTTGGGAGGTCTCTTGGATGCCTCTTGGGGCGTCTTGAAGGCACTTTGGGTTGTCTGGAGGCCATCTTTGGCGTCTTGGATCGCCCACTTGAAGCGCTCCTGGAGCGCTCTTGGGAGCCTGCTGGGACGTGGCCGGGACCTCGCCAGGACCTGCCCGGGATCTTGCCAGGACTTCGCCGTTTTTTTAGTTTTTTCGTCTGGGGACCCCCAGAGGCGGCCCCGCACGCGCGAACTAGAAATGTTGTTAACCAGTTACCGGAGATCTTAGCACGCCCCACTTGTTTGGGCCTTTGGTGGCCTCTTGAGGGCCTCTTGGAGGCCTTTGGCGGCGTCTTGGGTGCCTCTGGGGCCTGTTTGGGGGCTCTTGGGGAGCTCTTGGGGCGGGAGGCGTAGGTATTTGATTGCGGCTCCTCCCTCCGAGGCCACGATCCTCGTGAGGGATGTCGAAAAATGACCCTCCCCTGGAGTGCTCTGGGGGGACCTGACCGGGACATGACCGGGACCTAGCCGGGGTAATTTTCGTCCGGGGGCCCCCAGGGGCCGCCCCGCGCGCGCGAACTAGACATATTGTTAACCAGTTACCGGAGATCTTAGCACGCCTTTGGCCCGTTGGGCCAGCGAATTCCTCCGATCGCTATTCCTATTCCTCCCATCGGTGGCGGTGGGGGCGGGGGCGGGGGCGGGGGTGGGGGGCCCTCTCCCACCCCGCCAAACCCGACGCCTCCGCCGACGCCTCCGCCGACGCCTCCGCCGACGCCAAAGCCGACGCCCTACCCGTCGCCCTACCCAACGCCATACCCGACACCATACCCGACGCCTTACCCGACGCCCAGTCCCACGGCAAGTCCCACGGCCAGCCCCACGGCGAGCCCCACGGCGAACCCCACGGCCAGCCCCACGGCCAGCCCCACGGCCAGCCCGACTGCTAGCCCCACGGCCAGCCCGACGGCCAGCCCGACTGCCAGCCCCACGGCCAGCCCGACTGCCAGCCCCACGGCCAGCCCCACGGCAAACCCCACAGCCAGCCCGACTGCCAGCCCCACGGCCAGCCCGACGGCCAGCCCGACTGCCAGCCCCACGGCCAGCCCGACTGCCAGCCCCACGGCCAGCCCGACTGCCAATCCCACAGCCAGCCCTACGGCCAGTCCCACGGCAAGTCCCACGGCCAGCCCGACGCGCTACCCAACACCCTACCCGACACCCTACCCGACGCCCAGTCCCACGGCCAGTCCCACGGCCAGCCCCACGGCCAGCCCCACGGCCAGCCCCACGGCGAACCCCACGGCCAGTCCGACCGCCAGCCCCACGGCGAACCCGACTGCCAGCCCACGGCCAGTCCCACGGCCAGTCCCACGGCCAGCCCGACGGCCAGTCCCACGGCCAGCCCGACGGCCAGCCCAACAGCCAGCCCCACGGCCAGCCCGACGGCCAGCCCAACGGCAAGCCCGACAGCAAGCCCTACGGCCAGTCCGACTGCCAGCCCCACGGCCAGCCCCACGTCCAGCCCCACGGCCAGCCCAACGGCCAGCCCAACGGCCAGCCCCACGGCGAGTCCCACGGCCAGCCCCACGGCTAGTCCCACGGCCAGCCCCACGGCCAGCCCGACAGCCAGCCCCACGGCCAGTCCCACGGCCAGCCCGACGGCCAGCCCAACGGCCAGCCCGACGGCCAGCCCGACAGCCAGCCCCACGGCCAGTCCCACGGCCAGCCCCACGGCCAGCCCGACTGCTAGCCCCACGGCCAGCCCGACGACCAGCCCAACTGCCAGCCCCACGGCCAGCCCGACTGCCAGCCCCACGGCCAGCCCCACGGCCAGTCCCACGGCCAGCCCCACGGCCAGTCCCACGGCCAGTCCGACGCCTAACCCTACGCGCTACCCAACACCCTACCCGACACCCTACCCGACGCCTTACCCGACGCCCAGTCCCACGGCCAGTCCCACGGCCAGCCCCACGGCCAGCCCCACGGCGAACCCCACGGCCGGTCCGACCGCCAGTCCCACGGCCAGCCCCACGGCCAGCCCCACGGCCAGCCCGACTGCCAGCCCAACGGCCAGTCCCACGGCCAGCCCCACGGCCAGTCCCACGGCCAGCCCGACGGCCAGCCCAACAGCCAGCCCCACGGCCAGCCCGACGGCTAGCCCAACGGCAAGCCCGACAGCCAGCCCCACGGCCAGTCCGACTGCCAGCCCCACGGCCAGCCCCACGGCCAGCCCCACGGCGAACCCGACTGCCAGTCCCACGGCCAGTCCCACGGCCAGTCCCACGGCCAGCCCGACTGCTAGCCCCACGGCCAGCCCCACGGCCAGCCCCACGGCCAGTCCCACGGCCAGCCCCACGGCCAGCCCGACTGCTAGCCCCACGGCCAGCCCGACGGCCAGCCCGACGGCCAGCCCGACGGCCAGTCCGACGGCCAGCCCGACTGCCGGCCCCACGGCCAGCCCGACTGCCAGCCCCACGGCCAGCCCCACGGCCAGTCCCACGGCCAGTCCGACGCCTAACCCGACGCGCTACCCAACACCCTACCCGACACCCTACCCGACGCCTTACCCGACGCCCAGTCCCACGGCCAGCCCCACGGCCAGCCCCACGGCCAGCCCCACGGCCAGCCCGACAGCCAGCCCCACGGCCAGTCCCACGGCCAGCCCCACGGCGAACCCGACTGCCAGTCCCACGGCCAGTCCCACGGCCAGCCCCACGGCCAGCCCGACTGCTAGCCCCACGGCTGGCCCGACGGCCAGCCCCACGGCGAGCCCAACAGCCAGCCCCACGGCCAGCCCGACTGCCAGCCCCACGGCCAGCCCCACGGCCAGCCCCACGGCCAGCCCCACGGCCAGCCCAACGGCCAGCCCCACGGGGAGTCCCACGACCAGCCCCACGGCCAACCCGACGTCCAGCCCGACTGCCAGCCCCACGGCCAGCCCGACTGCCAGCCCCACGGCCAGCCCCACGGCCAGCCCCACGGCCAGTCCCACGGCCAGCCCGACGGCCAGCCCGACAGCCAGCCCCACGGCCAGTCCCACGGCCAGCCCCACGGCGAACCCGACTGCCAGCCCCACGGCCAGCCCCACGGCCAGCCCGACTGCCAGCCCCACGGCCAGCCCCACGGCCAGTCCCACGGCCAGCCCGACGGCCAGCCCGACAGCCAGCCCCACGGCCAGTCCCACGACCAGCCCCACGGCCAGCCCCACGGCCAGCCCGACTCCCAGTCCGACGGTTTGTGCGACGGTCCAGGGCGCTTTCGCTGTTACGGCGCCCGACCCCGAAGTGTTAGTAGAACATTGTGCCAACAACACAGACGTTCGGGGCGCTCTGGAAACGTCAATTGCGAGCTATTTGAATAGCACTGTCGCCCCTGAGGACGTATCTGTGTTTTGCGGCTTTGGGCGGCGTTTCGGTGAGCACCCTGCCCAGGGCCCGACCTCGACGCCGGGTAACGTCACTGTTCAGTACGAAATCGCCGCGCCAGTCGAATTCGTGAATCAGATTCGGGACAGCGCAGAAGTGTTGCTGGGTCCCCAAGTTTCCAGCCAGAGCCTGGCCAGACTTGTCACCATCATCGGCGACGTGCTTTCCAGCACCGCGCCTACCGCTTCTGGCAACTCTCCCACGGAGGCGTTCGGAGGCTCGGCTGAGGTTGCGGTCGAGTACTCTGGGACTTGCACCGCCAGCCCCACGGCCAGCCCGACTTCCAGCCCTACGGGCAGCCCGACGGCGAGCCCCACAGCAAGTCCGACGGCCAGCCCAACGCCTATGCCGACTCCAGCCCCGACGGCCCCACCGACAGTCCAAGGGGAGTTCGCTGTAACGGTGCCCGGCCCCGAGGAGTTTGTGGAAAATTGCACCAACAACATAGACGTTCGGGAGGCACTTCAAGCATCGATTGCAAGTTACCTCAACAGCACAGTAGCCCCTGATGACATCACCGTGTTCTGCAGCATTGAGAACGGCAGCCTTGGTAACGTCACCGTTGAGTACGAGGTCGCACGCCGTCTGCTGGCTGGCAACGTCACCATTGATTATGAAATTGCTGTGCCGGAAGAAGAAGCCAGTTCGGTTCAGGACAATGCGACGGCGTTATTGAGTTCCCAGGCGTCTAGCCAGAACTTGGCCAGGCTCGCCACCATCATCAGCAATGAGCTCTCCACCACTGCAACCAGCGCGTCCAGCAATGTCATCGAGGTAGTCGGAGGCTCGGCGGCCATGGTTGTCATTTCAACACATCATCCGACGCCGAGTCCGACTCCCAGTCCGACGCCTTACCCGACGCGGAGTCCGACTTCCAGTCCGTCGCCTTACCCGACGCCGAGTCCAACTGCCAGTCCGACGCCACACCCGACGCCGAGTCCGCCTCCTTACCCGACGCCAAGCCCCACGGCTTCATCGACGCTCGCCCCTCCTCCCATGGCTGGGCCTTCCAGTGGACCCCTCTCAGCAACAGGCGATCCACACTTACAAAATGTCTACGGTGAACGTTTTGACTTGATGAGGCCTGGCAATCATGTCTTGGTCAACATTCCTAAGGGCCAACGTGTTGAGGAATCGCTGCTTCATGTAGAGGCTGTCGCGGTGCAATTGGGTGTACAATGCGCAGACATATATTTCCAAGAATTGAACATGACCGGGGTGTGGGTGGAGACTAAACGGACCGGCGGGCTCCATTTCCATGCCCAGGATGTGAGCGACGAAGCACCGAAGTGGGAACATGTTGGGAAGGTAGACGTGAAGGTAGCCCATGGGCGCACTCAGCAAGGCATTCCGTACCTGAACTTCTACGTCAGGCACCTCGCACGCGCTGGCTTTGCGGTAGGCGGGCTTCTGGGAGAAGATGATCACTCCGAGGTGGCGACGATCTCCCCAGCCTGTGTGCGGCGCCACGCCATCTCTCTGTTCGAGCCGCGCCGCTGAGCGGGCGATCATATACCGCCCGATGAGAACCGGCTCAGCTCCCTTCTCGAGTCCCCTGCCGTACGCTTCATTCTAGGCGCGCTTCAGCTTCTCCAGTGCTGCGGATGCAGCCTCGCCGGGAGACGTGCGCGAAGGACGAGGAGGAGGAGGTGGAGGAGGATGAGGAGGAGGAGCAGGAGGGTTCGGCCTCGCCGGGAGGCATGCGCAATTTTGCTCGGGCCGGAGGCCCATTTTGCTCTTTGGCCTGAGGCCTCGCAGGCCATCTTTTGTGGCGCTTTTGCAGTGAGCTCTTGTCCTTTATATTATAAAAACCTTGAGTGAGGAGCTGGTGCTGAGCAAGCAAAAAGAAAAGATGAGCAGAAAGCAATTTCCTGTCCCCTAATTTTTCTGGCTCGCCAAGTGACGCACGCGTCCACAGGGCAGGAGTGGGGCACAGCACCAGAGTGCTGCCGGGGCAGCCAATGGTACAGCTCAGGCAGATCGATTTGGGTAGAGATTTGAGCAGTCGCTCGTGCGTGGAAGAGCGTAGGGACAAGCAGTGTCCTCGCAGAGTTGAGGGCCTTACAGCTGCTCGTTGACATCCGGAACAGCTGTAAACAAACATTCGTTTGTGAAGTGATCGGCAAAGAGGGGGTAGAAAGGCTTGATATCAATGATATTGCGGAGGTGTTCGCAAGTTTCTTTGAATCTCGGTATGGCGGTGTTGGTGGTGATTATTGCTGTGAGGACTCCCTCGTGCCTGACGTCACGCCCGACGTGGTGCGGTCTTTGTTGAAACGCATGCGGCCCAGAAGTGCACCAGATGAGGGAGGCTCCGTTGCGAAGTTGCTTGGCCACGGAAGTATCTTTCGTTTTTAGCTCATTGCTAACGCTTTTACCACAGTCCTGAAGCTGGGAGCAACACTCCTGGAGTAGTGTCAGCGGCGTTTTTTGAATATTATTCCCATTATAGCTTTTCGCTAGAGGGTTCTTACAGAGCTCAAATATGCCTCTCACCAGAATCTCCACAGGGGGGGGGCCAGAGGGAGGGGTCTCACTGGCGCGGCGGCGCGATTTGGCACCGCCATCTGGCAGCGCTCACTTTGTGTTCTGTTTCGATCTTGTCCAGAAAGAAAACTCTCTATGGTGTTCTGGCTCAATTTAGCCCTCCCAGATCTAGAGATGAAACTCACTATGGCGTTCTGAGTCGACTTGGTCCATAAATGAGACTCAGTATAATGTATAATGTTCTGGTTCGATGTCAGTTCAAATATTCCTATCACCAGAACCAGAATTTCCACAAAGGGGGGTCGAGTGTTCTGGCTCGATTCCAGCCCTCGCAGATTCAGAAATCAGACTCACTGTGGTGTTCCGGGTCAGAAGTCGTAACGGGCATCGGATTCTCATCATTCCAGCTGTCCTAGGTTTAGAAAGTGTGGCATGGCCATCAGCTTCTCACCATTTTAGCTACCAGGGGTGGGGTCGCTCGGTCCCTAATGCTGTTCCAAGCGCGTTCATGCCACCATGTGGACATCATGAACGCCATCCTCATCAGCAAGTTCAGCTCCGCAATCGTATCGATAATATGATCAGGTCGTTCTCGCAAGCCGACGTTTTAGGCGTCCATTCGCCTCCACACCTTCGCTGCTATTCGGGTGCTTTGCTGGGGCAATTTTGTTCAAGAATGGCGATCTTAGATAGGCAGAGAACTGTTACCCTATGTGCATCGCCCCAATTCGGTATCCAGCTGTCTCCAGCAATTCCGACACCGTGCCGGCGCAGCATTCTGGGTGACAGTATTCGAGCAGGCAAGGGGGGCTGCTGGGCTGCTGGAGGCCTCTTGGGCCCTTCTTGGGGCCGTCCTGGGGCCCTCTTGGGCAGCCTTGGGCGCTGTTTGGGCCATCTTGGAGCCCTGTAGGGCCGTCTTGCGGCCCTCTTGTGAGCCTCTTGGGCCGTCATGTGGCGGTCCCGATGGTCTCCTGGGTCGTCTTGGGGCGTCGGAAGCTCGAGAGAATGCGAGGCCCCCCGCACAATATTGACAAGCCTCGGAAGGTCGAAGGGGCGAAAACGCGAACATCTTTCAAACACCGGAGGAGCATGTGATCGTTTTTTATTCGCTGTTTTGCCGATCGGCGCGGGCCCTCGCACCCCCCCTTCCCCCACCCATGGAGTAGATCTTGGTTGTTTTTGACGCCTGTTTCGAGCAGGTGGAGTCGCCCCCGTAGGACGCACCGTTGCAAACAGTGGCAGTAAGCAGCGTTCCAGAGCCAGACCCCCTCCTCCTCCTCCTCCTCCCCCCTTTCCGCCCAACGTCGAAACGCCGAAGTAGAAAACGCTCACCATCAATGAGTTTGGTCTCTTCGGGCCTTGCTGGAGGTACTTTTGGAGCCGTCTTGAGCCGTCCTGGAGGTCTCCTGGGCCGTCAGGGAGGCCTCTTGCACCATGTTGGCGGCCTTGGCGGCCTGCCTTGGCTTTTTGAGAAGCCGCCTTGGGTATCTCCGACGCCTTGGGGAGCACCAGGGACGTCTCGGCTCCGATAGAGCCTCGGAAAAGCAGGGGGATGCGACGAGCGGGGGGGGGGGCGCCTTGGAGGATTCGAGAAACCCCGCGAGGCAGCGCTTGGCGTTCTAGCGCGCCTCAACGTGCCAGGGGGCACGGCGGCTGATATCTGGTGGCCGGCAGCCCATCCCGCCACCGTGCGTGGGTTGTGGGTCAGAGTTCTCGGGGATATTTCTTGGGGTTTCTTCGGGGCGCTCGCGGGGGCCTCTTGGGGGCAGTTTCGGAGCCTCTCTTGGGAGCCTCGTTGGGGGCCTCTTGGCGGCCTCGTTGGGGGCCTCCTGAGGCCCTTTGGGGGCCGCGTTGGGGGCCTCTTGGGGCCTTCTGGGGCGCCCTCGGGGCCGAGGGCTAAACAACTGTCCGTGTGGGTCCCCCCTCCGGGCCCCCCCCCTCGGAGCCGTTATTTGGGCCTTCTGGGCCGTCTTGGGCGCATGGCGGCCTCGGGCCAGTTCGGCGCACCCCTCGCGAGGATCGTGGCCCCATAGGTAGCTCCACCGAAGGCCCCAATGGGAAAGTTCGCATGGCGGCCTCGGGCCAGTCTGGCGCACCCCTCGCGAGGATCGTGGCCCCACAGGGAGCTCCGCCAAAGGCCCCAATGGGAAAGTTCGCATGGCGGCCTCGGGCCATTTCGGCGGCCTTTTAGGTCGTCTTGGGGCTCCCTTGGGCCGCTTTGGGGCCCTCTTGGAAGCCTCTGGGGCCTCCTTAGGGCGATCCTGGGGCCTCTAGGGCCGTCTGGGAGCTTCGGGATGCCGAAAAGGCGACACGCTAACAACTTCCAAACACCAGAATCAATGATTCTGGCCTCTTGGGGCCCTGTTTGGAGGCCTCTTGGAGGCCTCTTGAGGCGTCTTGGAGGCCTCTTGGGCCGTCTGGGGGCCATCTTGAGCGTCTTGGAGCGATCGTTCGGCGACTCGGGGCCCTCTGGACCGTTTTGGTGATCCCTTGGGGCCCTGTTGGCCCGTCTTGGGCCCCCCTGGGCCCCGAAAAAGTCACGCGAGCAGCCACTACAAGACGCGCCAAGCCCACGAAGGTTTGGGAATTTGGGCTCCAGGCCCCTTGAAGACTCAGAGCGCCGGATCTCGCAGGATCCTGCAGGGCCAGGGTCGCACTGACCCGGCTCTCGGTGCAGGCTCCTGCAGGACCCTGCAGGCTCCTGCCAGGCCCGACCGACCCGGGTTGGGACTGGCCCGGGTCGGCAGCTCCCCGACACGACGCGAGCCTGCCTGGGCTAGGGGGCCACATGCGAACCCTACCCCTACCCCCCACGCTTTCTGAGGGGGAGGGTGGGGTTCACTTCGTTCGGGAGCTCCCGAGCGAAGCGAACCTCCCCCTCCCCCTCAGAACTCGTGGGGGGTAGGGGGTAGGGTTCGCATGTGGCCCCCTTTGCCCGGGCCTCTCCCTCCTCGGCCTCCCCCGCGCCAGCCGCAGCGCTGCCCCCCCGCGGGCCGAGCCCCGCGGCGGCCGCCCGGCCGCCCCCTTAAGGCCCCCCCCCCGAGCGGATGGACGGCGGCCCCGCCGCGGGCCGCTTCCCGCCTGCGGTGGCGGCCGCCCTGCGGCCCCGCAACCTGGCGCTCGGGTGAGGTCGGGCGTGTCCTTCGGCAGGGGGAGAGTGCCCGAGGGCGGTCCGGGGCCCTCGTGCGGTGACGGTTTGTGTTCGACCAGGTCTGGTTGCTTTTTTTTGTTGGGGGGGGGGGGGCAGTTTTCATTCACCTTCCAAGATCCGCCTGCAGGAGGACATGCCGACCCAACGCTCGGGACGATCGGGATGGGTACCGGAAGCAGGGGGCGCCCTCCACGGCGCGAAGTGATTCGCGCTTCGCGATGCGGCCCTGGCCCTCCTCGTCCTCCCGTCCCCCCCGGGGGGGACGGCGCGAGCGCCCACAGTTTGGTGGTCCCCAAACGTGGTGGTGAGAACACCCGGTGGTGAGTTTTGGGCGATTTGGGTAATGGTTTTCGAGCGTTGGCTGGCCCAGGAAACGCAAAACCTCGTGGCGACCGCGTGTCCCCAAACCCGGTGGTGACCCAGAATTATTTTTTGGGGGGGAATCGGGGTCACCACCGGGTGTCTCACCACCTGGTTTGGAGACCACCAAACAGTGAAATTCGCGCCTCGCGCAGCGGGAGTGCGCGAAGTGATTCGCGCCGCTGGGCACGAACAGCAAAACGGGCACGAAGTGGCAGCAACCAGCTCCGCCCAGGGAACAGCCCAGCAGAGACATCCTACAACAGAACTTGGTGGTCTGGGCCGGCTCGCCCGAGGCATCCTCGCAATTCTCGTTCTCGAGCTGGCCAGGATGGGGCGTTTCGCGAGAGACCCCCTTCCGTGTTCTGAGCTCTCTGTCGGCATCGCCGAGGACGTCGTCCATTTGAGACAGCAGGCCGCCTGCCCAGCAGCGGCTGCTGCTGGTGTTGGGCAACACTTGTTGTTGGGCATCGCTCCCATACTTTCCGTACCCGCTTCGGGC